TTTTGGCTGCGCTTACTACTCCACCTAGTCCACAACCCATCCCCATTTTTCGTTTACCACGCATAGCTGTCACCGTTGTCCAAGCAGCTAACTTTTCTTTAAGCCCCGTATCTTTCGACTTGAAAATCGCCCACGCCTTTTCCTGTAATATTCTGTCGGCCTCGTGACGATCACTGAACACGTCACTTTTATCGTAAGCAATATCGTGTTCTCTACAAGCGTTATCCAATCGATTGATACCCCGTTGACCGGCGGCCAGCCTTTGACGTAGACGAGTCCCGGGTCCACAAAACTGATAACCAGGATAATGCAACTCTACCGGTAATCTATTTATAATAGAGTTTAAAAGACCCGAACCTTTGTTGCTCTTTAGCTTTCGAGACGAAGACATCATATGTTCATTTCTTTCAATCGACAGTCATATTTATACCATGCGATTTGTTGAACAAGATCATAAACTCCCTATTGTCAATGCAGATACAATAGACGTCAATAGTGTGGTATCAAAACACGGTCCTCTTCTATCAAACACTATTCGCGCCCTAATAGCTGGACCATCGTCCTGTGGTAAAACCCAATTGATCTTTACACTGTTGACTGCAGACAATGGATTAAAATTCGAAAACGTATACATTTATTCCAAGACTTTGGGTCAGGAAAAATATAAATTACTCGAGCAAATTATTCGTCAAGTCGATGGTGTAAACTTGTACACGTTTTATGAAAATGAAACAATAATGGTTCCGGAGAAAGCAAAGGAAAATAGTATTTTTATTTTTGATGACGTAATTTCTCAAAACCAACATATTATCCGTGAATACTTCTCACGTGGGAGACACAATAAAATAGATGTTTTCTATTTAGGTCAAAGTTATTCGAAAATTCCAAAGCTTTTAATTCGTGATAATTCAAATCTAATTGTACTTTTCAAGCAGGATGAATTAAATTTAAAACATGCTTACGACGACCACTGTAGTTCAGATATGACTTTTTCCGAGTTTAAAGACTTTTGTAGAGCATGTTGGAATCGAGATAAATATGGATTTGCAGTGATATGTAAGGATTTTATTAGAGATCAAGGAAGATATCGAAGCAAATTTGATACATTTGCTTTAATATAAAAGACCATGCTCGCAATTTATAGTTATCATTTGCACTGCAGTTACCATGACGGAAAAAAACAAAAATTTGTTATCAGCGTTAACGCAGGCCAAGGAAAGTATTAAGAGAAAGTATATAGCTCTGAAACAAGGTGAAGCAGATACAGAATCGTTAGTTACACAGAGTTTTAAACCAATTATTGATCCACTGACGAAAATAGCAAATAAAAACACGAACAATGGTGGTGATGACTACCAAAGTTTTGAAAATCGCGATCAGGTGTTTGATGACCCTGTATTTCAGTCACAACAAGCATCGAAAGAAGTATCAACCGCCATAACGTCGAAAAAAACGGATCATACTGTGAGCGTTGGTATGATATTAGATAACTGGTTAATTTCACCACAAAGAGATAAAATATATGGACCCAAACCGGTTGATAATAAAGGTAAAATAAATTTCGGTCATTCTGAAATGGAATTCGATAGAAATTCATTACAAATTTCACTTGATGGTAGACCATATCCCATGACCGTGGGAATACTACAATTATTGTTTTCTAAAAACCCAAATAAGTATACAAAAATCGATACGAGAAATTATAAAAAAATGCTAGAACAATCATCAGCTCACTTAACTGTAGATGGTAGTCGGCTTAAAAGAACCGGTTCCAAGTATAATAAGATCATTTCAAAGATATTCCCCTCAGGCAGTGGTCTTTCCATGTCGCTGAATAATAAGAAAACAAATTACGTATATTGGAATCAGCCTGAAGAATTAATTACCAGATTACGTTTATTACATGCAGCGAGAACTGCAGGCAACTCAGGGGTCAATAATGAAATAGTTTCTATTTATGAAGAACTTTATGAGCAGGGTATTATAAAAACGATTCCACACGATGATACCGATAACTACTACTAAAGAAAGTATTGCTTCAGAACTGCATCGACCAGCTCGTAAAAATTTCACTAGGCGGAGAGTTATTTTGAAGGGGAAAGGTGATCTTTTGCAAGCCGATATTGTTGAAATGACCAGTCATTCAGTGAAAAATCGGAAATTCAAATATATTCTTACCGTCATTGACTGTTTTACGAAAAAAGCTTGGTGTTTTCCTCTGAAGACAAAAACTGGAGTCGAAGTCACTGCAGCCATGGAGAAAGTACTCATCCCCCACCCAACAACTCACCTTATGACTGATTCCGGGAAAGAGTTCTATAATAAGCATTTCATGGCTTTGATGAAAAAATACAATGTTAACTTATACTCGACATATTCCGCTCTCAAAGCTAGTATAATTGAGAGATTTAATCGCACAATTAAATCAAAAATGTACAAACAATTTACAGCTCAAGGTTCATATGAATGGGTTTCTATCTTGGATAGCCTCGTAGATACGTATAATAATACAAAACATAGCACTATTAGAATGACACCGAATCAGGCCGAGGCTAACCCGTCTTCGGTTGTAATACATGGTCGTAAGATACCTGAGCAGAAATTTCGCTTTAAAGTTGGCGACAGAGTAAGAATTTCTATGTACAAAACCATCTTTACTAAGGGTTATCTTCCTAGCTGGAGTAGTGAAATTTTCAAAGTAGTAAAAGCTAATCCTACATCTCCTCCTACTTACTACATAGAAGACTATACCGGTAAACCCATAGCAGGTAGTTTCTACAATGAAGAATTAAGCAAAACTCTATATCCTGATGACTATCTGGTGGAAAAGGTCTTACAAAAAAAAGGATCAAAAGTTCTAGTAAAATGGTTAGGATTTGATTCAACACATAACTCATGGATAGATAAAAACGATCTCAAACTATGATGAATTAATTATTCATAATGAAAAATAATTTCAATGATGAAATTAATCGATATTGTTAAAAATCGCATTATATAAAATATATTAAATAATGTATTAGTACATAATGTTCTCACTAGTTGAAAGTCTGTCGACTATATTTTCAAACAGTCATCATTTAGACCAATATGATGCAGTATCGCTCTCACGGTGGACTGACGATGTCTACATCCTATTCCAACGACTCCGGACCCAATTAAATATTAAATATATATGAATGTTTGAACATCGTTTGGATCGATACGAATTGGAGTCAGTACATCGCATGTCGCAGACGCAACCAGATGAACTAGAATGGGTAATTACCAATCGTTGATCTATTTTTACCGGGACGTTCAACCGCATTTGTGCAAAGCGTGTAAGTTTGAAGATGCTGAATGTTTTGTCAGTAAGTCCACATTGCCGTGTTACGGTTTGTATTTGACCGACCTGGATGATGATGTTGAACCGGACAGTCAATCGATGTTCGAAGTGATAAAATATAAGAGACAAGTATGCACAGCTTTGAACGCGCCGTCGAGAAAATCGTATCTGTCACTCGTGCCATGGCGTCCATGTCAGTTGCCGAGCCACATGCTGGGCAAAATTGTATATTCTAAAAAAATAGTCGGGTACGTGTCAATGAAAGCTACCGATTTTAACGATATTTTACATAAAGTTAAAATGACAAAGGATATTTTCTTGTCAACATGTGAAAATTCATACGGTGTAAATTTTAAACCACTGAAAGAATATTCACCGTTTGCCCGGCTGTTCACTGCGTACGATGATGACGACTGGAATATCTTTTTCGTGGACAATACCGGACCGATGTCGTGGAAAAGAAGATATAATACAAACGGACGGGAATATATTTTGGATGCTCTTACATAGTCAAGATGGTAATCATCGATGAGTTAGGATAATTTTAATATTAACACAGTGTATTAGTATAAAATAGTGATTAGTATATCGACAACCATGGACGTGTTTGGTGGTTCATTAGAAGGCAAAAAGAATAAATCAATCGGAAATCTCCAAGTTGGATTGCAGATGCTTCAAAATGAGGTAGACGTACACAATATTCTTTTCCGTACTCATCGAGCGGATATAACAAAATGTAGTGATACAATTACTGATATTCGAACTGCCGTACAAAAAATCGAATCTTACATTCAACTAATGGCAGCAAATATAAAATTTGATTCACCTATTTTAGTATATGATCAATACAGACTACAAACTGAAATAACTATTAGCGTTGAGGACAGGTCAGACGATTTAGTAGATAAGATTCAGGAATAAGAAGAGTTAGTAATATATTGTATTTAATCATGAAAAGTCGTGTTCTGTGTTGCTTGCTTATATAATATAACAACATAATTTATAATACAAGAATGGGTCGCTTGATACTTGATATGCAGTGTGTACTAGGATCTGATGGAAAATATCTAATAAAGGAATTATCGGCTATCGATACCGAGAGCTGTGCAGTCCAACACTGGATATTCAAATACTCAACAACCATGTTTCAAAATGCCAAGTCTCGTTCTATTAATAATTGGTTAGAGCGTCATTTCCATAAAATGAGTCTCACATACGGTGATGTAGAATGCGAGGAAATTGGAAGAATATTAAATTCATTACAAGCTCGAAACATTTACGTGAAGGGGGAACAAAAGAAACAACTTCTTTTGGAATATTTACCTGGTATAACTATTATAAATATGGAATTAATGGGCTGTCCAAGAATAGATGAACTCTATCCTAATGAAGAATTCGCTTGTTGTCTCTTTCATAAAGAACTGAATCCCAAGCTATGTACATTTTACAAAGTTTTTACTTTGAGAAAATGGTTTTTGGAAAATGTGTAAATAATATACTTTTTTAGTTTTTGTAAAAGATAATATTAAAATATTTATATATATATATATATATTGTAGAAAAATAATTGTTTACATTGTAATATATATTATATGATGTATACTTATATAATAAGAAATCTTTTTTATATGTATAAATAATAAATCGAATATTTTTTTTCTTTTAAAAAATTGTTGTTGCATTCTTATAATCCGCCTGCCTCTTGAAGTTCTCTAGAATAATAATAATAATATGAATGAACATTTTTTTTAACTATCATTATTATATATTTTATTTACTTGATTTTATAATGACCAATCGCTAAAGTGTGAATTCTGTCATGAAGTATGATCCTCTTATCATCATTTCGGTTTAGTGCTAATTTCATTGTTTTGATGGTACAAATTTGATGTTTGAATGATCGTATAGATATATTCTCTCTGTATGGAGTATAATCGTAGCGATAGGATGTACTACCCGCTGTATTTAAGTCATGGTGAGCATACTCTACGGTCTTAAGAGCACAATTATGAGCAATCATTTTGGCTTCTGCTTTATTTAAACCGTAAATGTCCAAATCATCATCACTGTCATCATCGAAAAGACATCTTTTAAAGTCGTCAAGAACCATGTGTTTTTGAGTTACATAAGTTCTTATACCTACAAAAGAAAATAATTGTTTTCCATATAACCGGTATTTTATACATAGATATTATACTAATACAACAAGGTCAGAAAATAAAGAAAGTGGTCCTCAAACAGTATACGCACGTGTATACCATAGGTTATGTAACGCATGAAAGTTTTTAATTTTTAATGAGATATTATAAAAAAATGTTGTGAATCTTAACAGCTTTAGTAAACCAAAGCAATCAGCATAGGAATTATTTCGATTAAATCATATATTATTAGAAATCGTTTATATTATATTATTATATTTAAACACTATCATATACTTATCTACCTGTTTTGAAAAACTGACGCCTTAACCCACTAAGCCATTAAGATTCACAAATTGTATAATGTATTTTATACCATTTAAATAGTAAACTTTTTATTTTATTTTTAATAATTTATAATACCTTTAGCTTTTATTTTTTCTTCTGTATTCCATTCTGTTTCCAGAGACTTATAAATGTTTTCTTTGCTGAACCCGTACAATTTTGATCGCAATGCAATTATCTCATGCATCGTAAGACCGGCTAATTCATCAGTGAATGTCCCCGGAACTTTTTTGCGTTCTACTGAGTAACATGGATGATCAGGTGATAAATTTGATGTATCCATCCGATTTAAAAGTTCTGGTTTTTTTCTGACATCTTCATAAAAGTCTTTGGTCTTTATTAAATATATAAGTGAGTCTAAGGGGAACAATTTATCATTTTATTTATAACTAAATACAGCTATTCTTTATTATTATTCATATTTAAAAAAAAAAAGGTACCTGTATCACCATAAATGAATTCAATAGCATCTTTAAAATGCTTGCGCATAACGTTGTAATGGTAATCGTACATCAAAACTTTGCTTAGTTCCAGCACCGCAAAACCTACGTATACTGGCTTACAAAAATTTATTATCTTATTCTCCAAAGAAATAGCTGCAAGGTTATCGTTGTATGTAGTGCATAGGAATATTATCTGCAGCTTTTACATAAAACCCATATGACATTAACTTATGTTCATCGATAATTTTAGTGTTTCCGCCTTTGCTGCCTGAATTATTGGGTTTGATTAATAGAGCTTCAAAATCTGCGTACACGACAAACGGATGTCGAACTGTTTTGCCCCAAGCTTCGAATTTCAAAGTCGAACCTGCTTCGGGCATTACCGGCAAAATGGTTTTATGTTTGTTACATATCTGTCTGTGTTGATCGAGCGCCTCCTGACCTGATAATTTATGGAGTTTCGGACGAGTATCGAATCCTGTGAAACATTTTTTACAAAAAACCATTTTGCTATGGTTTTTCGTTTTTTAGCTATGTATCAACCTCGCGAAATTTGAAATATAGGTGAAGTGACTTAAGCCCGTAGTTTCATCCTCTATGACCAATAAATCAAAATGATCAATTTTTTCCGAATTCGATACACGTAGCGGATAAACATAATGAGCCGGTTTGAATTTAGTATGGCCCGGTTGTTTTTCCAAACCATATACATTTATAGATACCGCAGGATTATCGATCTCGAAGATTTTAATATTTTTAAGAGGTGTTGGATATATAATCCTATTAAAATTATACATTTTCTCTAATTTTTTATAATTTTCCCCAACGTGATTTTTATTTCCCGATGACACGTGCTTAGCTAAAATGGCCCATTTAAAACATTCATTGTCCTTCAAGTTCATAGGATTAATGACCGCCTTTTTTCTTATAATATCTTCGGGTAGATATATATGGGATGATGCCCGTAACGGTGTAAATACATACACTCCCAGAAGTATTCCATCAATTGTTTGAAGGGAATAACCAGAGCCCTTGGCAACATACTCATCTTCTTCTTCGAGGAGCTTTGTAAAGTCATCAAGAACTGCAGCATTCAAATCACTCGCCGAATAAAGCTCTCTAGCAGACGTTTTAAAAGCCCGATTTTCTGTTGTGTTTTCCTGCTGCGGTATACTATAAGTTGCTTCTAGTTTTAAATTGTATTTAATTGGATGAATTGACGCCATTGAACTTAAAAGACTAGATATTTGTGGTTTGCAGTTGTTTAAAAATTCATTATAATCTAATGTATTGTTTATATTTTTTTTATAAAACCATTTAATTTTCCCCTTGAACGATGACTCGATATGAATAAAATTATCCTGACCCGCGGTCGCCGCCATAGACATACGAGCGGTTTTTTTACGTTTATTACACATCGTATTCTCATTATAATAGCCGGGTTCAATCGTAGTATTATTCAACAATTCCCCATCAGCCGTTTTTATTTTTTTAACCGACTGTGTTGTTGGTAGGGGGTCAGACGTACAATCTACACCTGTTAAATATTTACTTATTTATATATATTTATATATATATATATTGTTAAAAACAAGTCTTACCGTTACGAGGGTCAACAGTTTCACTTGGTGTCGTAAAAAGGGTGTCATTAGCCTGCGCGTTTGACGGAATATATGTTATTAAATTCGATTGTTCTTGTTGTTGCTGTCGCTGATTAAAATCTACGATAAAAATACGAAATTACGAATAGAATATTATGTTTTTTATTTTTTTTTTTTTATTTCTACTCACTGTTAAACACTTGTCCTATACCGTCAATAGCGTCATTAAAATCAACCCCATTTTTAGCAAGATCTATAATAGTATAAATTGTTTTTATGTCCATCGATTTTAATGCTTATTTTTAATAACTACTGTTTAAATAAATGTAATATATTTAATGCTTTACTTACGATGTACGGTTCTCACATGACGCAACAAATTTGATTTTTGACTAAAAACTCTATTGCAAGCGTGACAAGGAAATTGAACGTCAGTGTGTTTTATGCCATGTCTGTTTAAATTAGATTTGTTTGCAAACGATTTACCACATTGTATACATGTAAACATGATGACTTTTAGATAGTACAATTAATATAAATTAAAATAACACGGTTGTACAAAAATAATAAAAGTTTTTTTAAAAATATTAAAAACAGCTATGAACGTAAAAGCGTAACATCGACTGACACACGACTAAACCATATTCTTGAATAAAACATTAGTGCGGGGCACTAGTTTTCTTTTCTTTATTTTAGAAAGTTGTTTCTTTTACATATTTTTTTAAAAGTAGGAGGAGAGAATATAGAAGGATAGTTGTTAGAATAATTTCTTAATAAATAAATGGGGTTATCTCTCAATGTAATAAAAATAAATGTTTTATTTTTTTTCATACAATAATTTCTATACAATAAATAGCTATTTACTTATTTAAATACATAATATTTCCCATTGTCTGTAATGTTATCACATACATTATTTATGTTTGTGAAAATACATAAATCACACTTGCAACAGTCATCTACATCTTGCATGGTTTTAGGTGATGAATTAGTTTTAATTTCAAAATCTGCAAGTTGTTCAATCACGTTTTCATCTTCATGCTTAGGAGCCTGTTAATAATAATAATAATAACACTTATAATGATTGTTTAGTTAAAGTATTATATAATAATGTAAAATCTATAATAACCTCTATTTCAGAATGTTTAAGTTCAACCCAAGCGTCAGCAACAGATTTCGCTGCGATTGATATAAGTTGGTTGATATAGTCAGGTTTATCGTTTGAGATTAAGCTAGAAATCGTTTCTTGACTCATTTTTTGTATGTAGCATACCATTTCATCGCTGTGGAAACTGTTTTTTTCTTTCCACTGAGAGTCTAAATATTTTACAAATATTTCGAGTTGTTCTAACACGATAAGACGGGTTACATACGATTTGTGGTAATATACTGCATTAACAACGTGTTGAAGTTCTTGAATTTTCAATAATTCCTCACGACAAAGTAAAATTTTGGAGTATGTATCACTTCTAGCCTGTACAACTAATAAATGCTGCCCACGTGAAACTAATTTTGAAATTATGAAGGATTCATCTGTTAACAGTTTTTTCATAACATTTTTTTGAAACTTTTTTTCGTAGTTTTCTAAAGCGGTTTGCTCAATCGACAAATTGGTCAATATTGTACTCATAGCAGATATTAATCTGCTAAATAAGATTATACCGACTGTCACATAACTTGTAGAAGTCAAAATATGTATTTTAACATTAAATGTCTCCTTCGGGTCTAAGCCGATTTGAATATATTTTCTACTATTATAGTCAATTGTAAACACCGTACAGTCTATTAACTCATGTGGCGGACGTAACGTACTATATTTTCTTTTTTTGTAAGTTAATTCATTTTTTTTTATTAAACCGGTCATTTTAAAATACTGAAATGTTGAACCGAAATAACACACAACGAACAGCACAGCACTCTATTAGACACTAAATATCATGAGCTACGGAATTTCCACTTAACCGTATCGAACAAGTTTTTTAGTACCCCACCATATGTAAATTATTAGAAAATAAAAAACATTCTTGTCGAGAAAGTTTGTTTAACCGATGCATATGTATTTTTATTTTTTATAATAACACAAGATTTAGCCTTGACCTCTCCTGTACCTAAAGATTTTAGTAAAAGAGTGGGGGATATATAACTTTTCTTTTAGAACATCATACTACAGTTAGTTGAAACGGTTTAATACGTTTTTCAAGTTCTACAAGAACAGACGACTTTATTTATTTACTCCGTACATAACAAAAAATAAGGTAATAATATATCTTCTTATAAAATATAAAAATATTTATATTACATATATATATATATATATACATATATATTTGTTTTTAGCATGGCTAGTTTCGCCAATTTACTCAAGTCAAAAGTTGAAGAGTCCGAAAAAACATATGCCAAATCAATCAGTATAGGCGAGCTGGAAGTGAACGCCAAATATCAGATAGAAAATGTCAAATTAATCGCCAGTAAATTCGGACCTAACTTCACGGTAGTACGCATGACGATAAAAAAAGATGGTCTAACATATGGAGTTTTTCTACCACAATCGTTCAAACTCACGGAACAGGAATGCGCCGAGTTTGAAAACAAAACAGGTCCGGTGTTTTTAATTTTTAGAGGCCGTAGACAGAATAAGTCATTCATTATAGACTTTGAGACATAATTTTTTTTTAACAGTGTGAAAACAAAATATCTAAAAAAATAATAAAACGTTTATACTATCTTATTTTTTGTGCTAATATTTGAAAATAAATACTTATAAAAACTATAAATTAATATGATTCTTGGAATCTTATGTTTTTTATGTTGATAACTTATTACTGTTAATACAATAATAATAATATTATAATGTTGAACCATAATATAAAATAAGTGTATTGAAATATTTTTAAACCTGTAAAACAAATGTATGTTTCTTTCTCATATTCATTTATTTGTAATAGTTTACGAGTTTTTGACAATAATATATTATTTTCTTTTTCTAAATGAGTGATTATGTTTTGTTTGTAATAATTTAAAAGAAAACTGGTTTACCTCACAGCGTATCAATAACATTATATTATCCAAGTTGTTATTTAGTCTCTGAGTTTTTACGACCGTTAAGTGGTGTGATTTTTATCACACACACACACACACATACACATATACACAGACACGCATGAATGCATACATGCTGTGTTTTCAAGTTACGTATGGTTTAAACACATATATGGTAATTAATATTAGGCTATGAGTAAAAACAAAATGTTACAGTATTTTTTCTTTGTACAGAATATATTTAAGAAAAATATAATACATAAACAGAAATACTATCAATTATAATAATAATAATATAATAAACAATAACAATAATAATAATGCTGTTAACAATAATATGGTATATTTACATTTGTATATATAAAGAAAATCTACACCGGGGGTGCATGACATTGAAATCTAGACACCTAATATTGGATATGATTCAGAAATTGGAATAAAATAATTAAAATAAGCCCTGACTATTTCCGATTTTAGGATCAAGTCAGGGTTTGCGGCACGTATCAAATTAATATCTGTTAAGTTTACCCAGACCTCCAGTCTGGCTCCGCAAACTTCACATTTTTTAAAGTTTGTTAAGTCCAATATTAAGTGTCCTGGTTGGAAAGTTTGTTTCCATGTGACAACCCTTTCAAGATCCCCCTCCGAAGTGATAGCTCCATAACTGCAAATAGAAGCGTTTATGTCGCAAACATAGTACTTTCTTCTCGTGGTCCTCCCTTCTAAATTTATACTGCGAACAGTCCCACATTTGTAATTACTTAAGATAAAATTGGTGCCCCACATCTCCAAACATAATAATATTTCCCGAATTGAGAAACACCAAAAATTTGCCCGAACCATTCCCCCAAAAGATATTGGTGTTCTCGGAAGATTTAATAGGGATTCTACCGATTTATATTGGAAGTATCTATAGTATAATTTTGGGTGCTCACAAGCGATTTCCCTGAAGTTATCAACGTTGTACGCCCCGGCATAAATTCTCTCCATATTTCTGTAGCTGTTAGCCAAACCTGGGAATGACATTCGCCAACGTAGATCGCCCATTGCACTACTATCCTCTAAAGACCATTCGTCCAAGTAAGTTTCCTCTTCTCTCGAACATGGAAGTATGTTGGACGGGTGGATCGGTGTATAATCAGCGGTGTATTCACCAAATACGCGGATTTCCACTATATTTAAAAACAGATATAATTAAATAACTAATATTAATCAGAAAATAGCGATAAAGTTTTATAAGTTTCATTGAAAAAAAATAAAATTACGTACGTTCTGATTCGCTTTCATCTTGAGAATCTAACGCTGAAGACGAACTATCAGTAGATTCTTGTTCTTGTGCTTCTTCTTCTTCTTCTTCATCTTCACTATCGTCAAATATATCACGCATATACCCCTCATTATCCATGACTCCTTCCGGCTCGCCAAATTGTTCAATAAATGTCTCCCGATCAGTTTGTTTGACTTCGATGTCCAATAACTCGTACTCGCCTGCAGTAGTTTTGTTAATAAAATAATTTGGCTGCATCTTTGAATTTGTAGATTTGAACTGCTAACAGAATTCAATAAACTTGATATAAATAAACTTGTGGGGGTGAAAGAATAGAAGGTGTTAAACACTTACTTTTTTAAAAGTATTATTGTCGTTGACTTGCCGGGGTACGTCAGTTAAAGAGGTCTTGAGGGGTACTGTCGCGTTATACGTGCATTGATCGTTCGTTTGAAAATCCATAAAAACCATAATATGTTCTAGGGTGTGGGTAGTTTTAAGAACTGGTTAATAATACTTGTTTTATATACACTTATAGCGACATACAAGAATAATACAGTAAACACGGTAAGAGGGTTCGTTAACCTAACACGTATGTGATAGGGTTATAGATGTTAATTTAAATACTATACACTAAAAAAAAAAAAAAAATATATATATATATGATCTTTTCCACAAGATATTATAGAATAATTTACAATTGTATATATAGGTAAACAGGACCACTTTCCACAAGATTACAACAACATTCAGGATCATTCATTATTATACAGTCGTTTACACGACGGGTGTAGGGTATCTATATAATACCTATGTACCTATTACCCCTATGGGTAATAACTGTATTATATTACTTTACCTGACAATCGGAGTAGAACGGGGATTTGTTTTTTTTCCTATATGTTTGGTGTAGATGCTCTGTCGGTCGCCGGGTAACGTTATATTATATTATAATATTAACGTTATTATATTATATTATTCTTAACTTTTTTTCGTATGTGGATGATCTTTATCGGAGCTCGACTTTCCATCAAACGATATGACAATTTGCATTACTATTTCACCATCACCATCGCCGTCAATTACAGCAAGTTGACGGGGATGCATTATATAGATCACATATTTTTAAAAAATAAAACTATTATGTGAGACCGGTAAAACTTTCACTCGACATAGAGTTTCGATTACTTTTACTTTTTCACGAGACCAATAGCGGCTGGGGGAACCACTGAGGACTAGCTATAGGACCGGGGGGAGGAGACGAGTGATAGTGAGGACTACGGAGGACTAGATATAGACCGGGAGAGGTAGAGGGGAAGTGAAAGTGAGGACTTTAATGTATTTTCAACGAACCATTATACTCTACTTATGAGTTCCAACTACTGGCAAATTTTCAACCCAAAAGTTTTAAAATTACGGCTAAAAACCCCGAAAAACAAAAAAACTTGTACCTTCCCCCCCTAGGGGGGTGGGAAATGGGTATAGTTTAAATTTGACATAATTGACGTGTGCGGGCATACCAAATAATTATTTCTTATACATTTCAACTCGATCCGACTATTTTTCTCGAAATTATAGCCAGTAAAAGTTCACTAGGCAAAATTTGTGATTTATAGAGTTGCTATTCGAAGGAATTGGTCTAGTATTATAAACGTTACAGTGTATACAGCGAAAAAAAAGCCCACATCAGAGTAAAACCTTCTCGCTTTGCATCGAAGCTAAAACCTCCACTGCTCCACATTGTTCAAAAGATATTCTTTTATGTGAATTTCCTGGTATTAACATTGAATCATCTCTTGTATGTAGTACTTATTAGGCCACACTTAAAAACTAAAAATGTTTACACATAACTATTGTGAGTAATTTCCACGGCTCACTCGGTTTTTTTTATGATAATAAAAGAATTGAGAACTTCTAGGATATACCGGCCGATTCTTTACACCAGTTTTCTCTTAAAATTGTTAAAATTTAGTTAAGTTTTTAATTTTAAAACCATTTTTTAATATTCAAATTTTTATATTTGCAGTATTTTTTTAGAGCTTTATCGACATTTGAAACTTAAATGGCAACACAAACATTTCATTAACTTTTTAAATTGAGAATAATGTACTACAAATTTAGGATAAGAGTTGATTAATCTTAAGAACTTAAGAACTTTAAAATGATTATTCAAAATTGATTATCAAACAATGTTTTTAGTAAATTATTCTTAATTTAAAATATTAATTAAACACTTATATAGTTAACTAAATAAATATATAGTTTTAAAGGTCGATAAAGCTCTAAAAAATTTTAAAAAAAAAATAAGATAAAAATTTAAACATTGTTTAATATTGTGTTAAAAAATGTTTTCAAAAATAAAAACTTAAAAATTACAATTATTTTGAGAGTAAACTAATACAGTGCTCACCCGATAAAATAATAAATACATTTTCCTACAATATACCTATATAGTTATAAGGAATTAGTGTAAAATAATATTTTATAAAATAAAACACAATTTTTTTCATAAAATGTATGGGTTGGAAATTAGTCTTAGAAGATAAGTCTAACATATACGAATACGGCACTCAAAAAAGAAAAAGTAACACATATGTTATTTAAAAACATATTATATACTTATTTATATGCTGGCAAATACTCTTAATATAGGTACATATGTATTAAAAACGGCTTGTTTATATCGTAACTGTTATTATTGATGTTAATATTACATTTGTATCGCCGCACCATTTCAGTGTAAAACAACATATTTCTCCAAACCGTTTTTGCTCATTTTTCCTGTTTCAAAGGATTTCTAACAGCTAATACAATATGTATAAGCAGTATTCTATGGTTTTTGTGTTGATGATCGTTGTGTTGATTGGAACAATGAGCCAGTCAGGACTAAATAAAGTCATTTGGAATTTGACGATGGACAGCCGCCATTTGCACTGCAGTGTAGATATGATTTCCTACCCGGGTTTTGACATGGTGTTGCCTGAAGTCGAAAACCTTGACAGAACTTTACTTATTGAATTTGGAAAACCAAATTTGCCGATCCTGCAGGTCGACACACAGGTAATAAACTTCTCATAGAAATTTAAATATTTTGTGCTTAAAAGTTTCTCCGAAATCTATTAAAATATAAAATATCTCTCTCAAAAAGTTATATAAGGAAGAACAAGTCAGTTGGAATTTGACGATGGACAGCCGCCATTTGCACTGCAGTGTAAATATAATTTCCTACCCGGGTTTTGGCATGGTGTTGCCCGAAGTCAAAAACCTTGACGGAACTTCACTTATTAAATTTGGAAAACCAAATTTGCCGATCCTGCAGGTCGACACACAGGTAATAAACTTTACATAGAAATTTAAATATTTTGCGCTTAAAAGTTTCTCCGAAATCTATTAAAATATAAAATATCTCTCTCAAAAAGTTATATAAGGAAGAACAAGTCAATTGGAATTTGACGATGGACAGCCGCCATTTGCACTGCAGTGTAGATATAATTTCCTTCCCGGGTTTTGGCATCGTGTTGCCCGAAGTCAAACACCTTGACAGAACTTCACTTATTGAATTTGGAAAACCAAATTTGCCGATCCTGCAGGTCGACACACAGGTAATAAACTTCTCATAAAAATTTAAATATTTTGTGCTTAAAAGTTTCTCCGAAATCTATTAAAATATAAAATATCTCTCTCAAAAAGTTATATAAGGAAGAACAAGTCAATTGGAATTTGACGATGGACAGCCGCCATTTGCACTGCAGTGTAGATATAATTTCCTACCCGGGTTTTGGCATGGTGTTGCCCGAAGTCAAAAACCTTGACGGAACTTCACTTATTGAATTTGGAAAACCAAATTTGCCGATCCTGCAGGTCGACACACAGGTAATAAACTTCTCATAGAAATTTACATATTATTTTGTTTTTAACAGTTATATACCTACCCCACCGACCAGAACTTGTAAGTTTAAAATTAATTGTTGAATTTAACTCTATCGCTGTATTCTTCAAATGTGTTTAACAGGTTGTTGGAACGACCTTTCTGATTGGCATCCGAGAAATGGGCAAAGGCCTATTCGCAAAGGTGTGTTACGGAGTTGTGGTCAGTGCAGTAGCTATTGTGCTGATTTTTGCTAGTATTGTCATACTGGTACTCTTACTCACGGCTATTGCACCTTTGCTACTTGTATTGACTTCTTATGCACTGTTGCTGAAACTTCTGACTATCATGGTATTTCTGCCGATGTTTCTAGTATGGATAATCGTCAGTGTCATTGTAATTTATATTGTTATTCATTTGAAATGTTCACATATCATATAATGTTATCATACATTAACAATTTTCACATAACTTATATTATTATTGTATAAACTAATTATATATACTCCAAGCAGCTGTACGCCACAGCCATGGTGCGTAACCCGTCTTATACCAACTTGGAACACATACTACATAATATTGTAAAATAATATGATTTTGTACTTTACAAGTTTACTGGTTTGTTTTTTTATGCAAATATATTTTGTAGAAATATCGCATGTTATCGGATCGTTTTTATTAATACCGTTATACAACAGAACATATGTAGTGAAGCTATTTTTAGATACCGTCGACAATTACTTTTAGCTTTAACTCAATACTTTTACTGACATTTGAAAAAAACGCTTTTACATTTGTCCCGCTTAACTCTACCTGTACCACGTGGTGGCGGTTAGGTTAGTATTAATACCGTACATTAAAAAACATCTTGCCCTGTTTAAATTAAAGATTTGAATAGAAAACAACTCTATGCAAACGAAACTCGATTTGTTACAACAACTTTTTAAATCGTTGTTTACCCAAAGTACTAGCTTTTGCAGTGTGGGTCACAATATTCTTTCAGCTGTGCGGTAGTACGCGACGGCCCATGATCTTAAGATTGTCTTAAGATACGTCATAGTAATATTATTATAAGGAAATATTGTTTAGAGGATTTTACGCTATCATCGCCGACACGACGACGTCGTGGTGTTTTTTTATGTGCTGATCGATTTTTTAAAAACAAATCGTTGTATACGTTAACTCGTCACCGGTCTTGTGCAAGTACTTATATACTTGGAAATATATACACACAAGGTTAGGTTAAGTAGGTTAGGTTAGGTTAGGTTAGGTTAGGTTAGGTTTACATACAAGTCTGCGCGGGGAGGCCGTAAAGTCACGGAAAATATTGTCACGGACCGTACAAATACGGAAAAAAAAGTATTGTCACGGACCGTACGAATTCGGAAAAAATAATGCTACGGACAGTAATGTGGCAGACCGTATTTTTACGGAATCCATAAACACTCGCACCGTATTGTTACAAACTGTACTAACGCGAAAAAAACAAAACCGTAAAACCACGGGCCGTACTTCTACGGAATCTTAAATGACACTGACCGTATTAGCACGGACCGTACGAATTCGGAATCTAAAAAATAAAATATTATTATTATTATTAAAATATTATCATTTTTATTGAAACTAATTTTTCATTTAATAAATGATTAATATTATAATATCTGAAGCACTGAATAAAAATAGCAAAAATAAGAACAATACATTTTTTAATTTATATTGAAATTCAACATCAACATTTGATTTATTATTTTATAATTTATAGAAGTATAATATAAGTATTCGCTCCACTCTAAAAAAGTTAAAACTATAGATTTTGCTATATTTTTTAAAATTAATACTACATAATGAATAATAAAATTATTTTAAAATTTTTAATTATGATCATTTAGTAGAATGAACTGTTGGTTAGCCATCTAAAAAAAAATCAATTTATGGATTTAAATATATGGATCAAAAAAATATGAATGTATTATTAACTTATCTATTAAATATGTCACGACACCATGGCTGACGTAGCCGAGCACCCCCCTCAGAGCCGCTGTGTACTGACATATAACATACTACGTTTGAACAAATTTTGTTTCACAAAGGTAAACCATAACAGACATTTAGCCGACTAACCTCTAGACATCTTTATCTGTATCTCTAGTTTTATAAATAATAGTTGTCTCAAAAGTCCGGGGGAATGTAAATATACTCTGTACTTATATGTACAATAAGTCCCATGAAATAGTACAAACAAGTCGTAGTTTGTACATTTATGTTGTCACAACTTTTGTGTAAAGTGTATACCATAGGTTATATATAAGTCAATAAGTTAAGTTTATATATGTTAAAATAGAAAGTACTCCAAAAAATAAAAAGCGATTAGCCAAAATGAAAAAAAAATAAAGGATATATTAAATCACTCCTCAAATGGAAAAATTGTTCAAACTCGGTAATTTTAAACAAATATCAATTACTATTATTTTTAACTATAACTTGACTTCTATTATAGGTACATTCACCTTTAAGAAATTAATAGTTTTTTGCATTTCACTGTTTTGGGTGTAATTTTTGGGCTTTAAACCTGACAATTAACCGAGGCGATTTTGAATTTAGATTCTATTATTTTAATGTTATAGGCCCTATAATATAGGGTAATGATACTGCCGAATTATTTACGGCGATAATAAGTCCGAAAATAATGTCACTGAACGTGTTTTAGCTGACACTTCTGTGCCGGATGCCCTGTATCGGAAAAACGACAAAAGGTCGCCCGACAAAACGCCGCCGGACAAAAAATCGACAAAACGTCGCCGGATAAAAAATCGACAAAACGCCGCCGGACAAATCGCCGCCCCTAAAAAAACCGCCTCTCAGTAATGCCAACACTAACAATACTTGTATACAATATACGATTATTAATGGTGTTAGTTGTGCTGCCAGCATGACATATTATTAAGGAGTAATTATTAGCTAACGACTCAAACGAGGCTGTTTTTAAAAAATATTTCCAGATGGCATTTTGAAAGAGACAAAAAGTCCGAACGTATATTTTTCACCACCAAAAAAAACGATATTTTATTATCTCTAGAAAACTGTTTACCTATTATTGAACTGTTATCTTTGTTTATTTTATAAATGCGTGTAGGTATCACCTATAATCTATATATTTTCTAGTACGTATTGCAAAGTGTATAGGTACAAATGGAAGTTATTGTTTTAAAGTTGCCGCGCCGGTTGAATTACCTGCCAAATATACCTTCTTAGGGACGAAAGTATACGCAGCCCTGTTTTACTTCGTATATTTGTTATTCTTTATTAGTATTAAGTAAAATTATATTATTATTTATTAAAAAATGGTCTCAACAATGGCGGTTCTAAAAAAAAATATGAAATAACATTTAACCAATTTTTGTATCCATTGCATTTTTTTTTATAAATATATTCATTTATAAGTTTGTTATGCGGGCCTAGGGCTCCAAGGTGACCAAAGTAAATAAGTTGAAACAACACTCGTTTCCGTATGAATTAGAATTGATTTAATAGAATTAACGCAACAAAAATAATGTTAGT